CTGAACTCGTACATGTATCTAGTAGTATGTATACCGATAGCTATGGCTTATCAGATGGGCTCTGCTTCATCCCTGCTTCACCATGGTCCGCACAAGAGCAGCTGTCAAAATTCACCAACCTATCATCGGGCTCATATAGAGCGCCGAAGACAGGCTATAATAGCAGTAACTGTCATTGTTTTGACTAGGCGGGCCTCGGTCACTAGCTGCTCTAATCACTCAAGTAGGATGGCCTCAGATGTCTGATCACATTCCACGTTGATCATGGTAGCCATCCCAATACTCTAGAAAGAGAGAATCAAGCAGGCTGCCAAAAGGGTAGAGCCTCGAGACAAGTTACGACGTGCGCGTGAGCTCTGATAACAACCGCCCGGAGTTACTGGGAGGCATCCGAACGCATGCACTCGCCTGAGTAACTCGAGTTCTCTCGAGATTGAAAACCGAGATATAATTACTATATTTGGGCATGAAATGCCGGTAACTCTAACTCCAACTCTTTGCCGAACAGGCCCTAAGTATACTCGGGCAGGACGGAAAACGATGGTACTGGGCGCGCGCTACGGAAGCTGCGCGGGACCACCGAGTCCGTGTCGCCACCGCTCTCTCGCGCGACCGGTGGGCCGAGCTCAAGCCGGCGGAAGGTGGATGTACCTGATACATGAGACGTAGCTAAGCGAAACCAAAAATGGGGCAGCGGAAGGGAGGGTGCAAAAACGAAAGCTCGAGGAGTGCGAGCTCCCGAAGGGCGAGGGGACGAGGATCCTGGGCTGCGAGCCCTTAACCTATATACTACTAGAGACAAATCAGATGTAAAGCGGCGAGGGGGTGGCACGAGTTACGCTGTCATAGACCCTGGACAATAATCATTGTCGAAAACAAATCTATGGGCGCCTTTCCGTCGTTTCTGGGGTCAGACGTGTAATTCCACGATGCTCGAAGCAAACTTCAGCCGATTAACTTCATATTTGACAGGTATGTACTGTCTAATATGTAGATTAAGTGTGCCAAGTTCAGGTTTTATGGGGGAAGATGCGAGGGAGATATTTACGAAGTACATTCTGGGCCGTCGCCTCTGGGGTCACACTGTTAGAGTCCTTTCGCAGGCGATTCGAACACGACGGGCATTGGCCAATGTCCCGGACCCAAACTGGGACAGAGAAATGGCCTGGGAATGGATGCCTGTCACAGGTTATGTCCCAAAGCCTAGCTCCGGACCCGAGCCATCCGGCGCTTGAACCCCTAAAGGGAAATACTAATGCTGACAAAGTCAATGACATAAGCGTATATACACGGTTCCGAGCGCCAATATCCTCTTTATGGTATCAGAGCGCCCGCTGGCTCAGGTCCGGAACCAGGCTTTGGGACATAACCTGTGACAGGCATCCATTCCCAGGCCATTTCTCTGTCCCAGTTTGGGTCCGGGACATTGGCCAATGCCCGTCGTGGAAACCGGTGGGGTAGTTCAATTTGTCAGCGCTCCCAGTTCAGAATCAGCTGAGGTGTGTCCCTCGCACATCCCTTTGACGGCCAATAATCGTTGCGCAATAGCGCGCTTGACAAGGTATCCACTGCACCACCAATTCATAGATTGGGCAGATCCAATCCGGTTTTGAATCGGCTGCGAAAGGACTCTAATACCCCGTGAGTGTCCAAACCGCTCCCTTGCGCATCGGCCCATCAGTACTAGCCCACGTTGGCGAGCCTGTTGACAACTGCAGGCAGTCACTCGAATTCACTGCCAAGTACTGAGACTCTGCTGGATTGGGACCTGTTCTACATCACGGCCTCGTTTGACGGATTCTGTGGAGACGCGCAAGACCATACGGAGGCTGACCCGGTCCTTCTTTGGTAAAGCCGGGGTATGGCTATCGTTTCCCGCGACCCCCTCCTTCGGCATCGGTTGGAAAGGTATCTGAGAGATCTGCTCATCTCTTGTTCAGCTTTGCAATGGTTTTCCTCCACCTGGATGAAGATACGCTCGTCCTCATTTTTCGATTTTTGCCAGTCTCGTCGTTCATCGCCCTCCGACAGGTAACGTACCGGAATACCTCCTTCATAGGCATCTTCAAGGGCTAACTCGTTGCTATTCATAGACCTGCAAGCGGCTGGAGAGCATCTCCAGATTGCGCTTCATCTGGCGACATGCGTGCATTGACCAAGTGCTGTCCCGGGGCTATCCCTTTCCCACCCGTCAGCTCGCCACGGCCTCTTCCTCCGAGCTTGAACGACTCGTTATCCATGCTCTACGCCTCGGCTCACTTTGGACCAGCCCAGGAGAAGAGTCATATCCTCAACCGCTCGAGTTTCAGGCGAGCACAGGGACGGGCGTTTCGCACGTCCAGTTCCTCCCAGGACATGGTGGGCGATTTGTTGTGACAGTCTACAAGGGCATATGGTCGATGATCACCTGCTGGGACATCGGCGACGTTTCCCGACGTTTGACGCACAACGCGCGCAAGCTCGGTGACTGGTGTCCCAAGAACACGATCTTTGCCGGCTTCGCGGTCAACTCGGACCCGGATTCCATCGCCGCATTGGCAGTCGCCGTGCAGCACGGAGGGTATGCATGATCCTTAGAATTCATCAATCAGCTTACTGATGCTCTTCCAGCGGGACCCAGAGCATCGAGGTGCTGTCAGTCTCTACCGATGATGGCACGTCGTGTTTCCGATCTATCTGCAACATCGCTACGACGTTCCGACCGGTCGCATTGCAAGGGGACCTGATCGCGTTCAGCGACGACGCTTCCGAGACCATTATCATGAACTGGCACGAGAACACCTTTGCTATGCTCAAAGGGTTCCAACGCCCAGTTGATGAGCATTTTCAAGTACGTCCGGCCTAGTGGGGTTGTCCGTGAACACCGCTGACAAATTCCTCATAGTACAATCGCTGCCTGCAGATCTTTTTTGCGTACAAAAGCGTCCTCGTCGTTCGTGCGCGTTCAGTAGAGTTGTTTGCAGAACCCGAGTTGCGTCCAGCCGGCGGGGACTGCACAACATACCACCCCATCGGCTTCCACACGTTCGGCTGGATCGATGGCGTCGCTGTCAATGCCCAGAAGGGGCCGCTCATCGACGCCGAGGGACTTGCGCGTCCTCTAGGTCACGAGCCACTATCTATCCTCTTGCGCTCGGAGAGTGACGATCCATGGGCATCGGACGTGCACAAGCTGGAGCAATACATACTCTCCCCAAACCCAGCCTTCGACGACCTCTCGGGATTGCCCCGCGCATATCATTCCGGGCAGCCAAACGAACATCCCGTCACGGAAGACGTCGAGCCCCCCGCACCCTACCTCTTCCCGCCCGTCCGCGCCGAACACACCTCTCCCACCGTCCGCGGCTTCCTCCGCTGCAGAGACATCGCCCTGGGGCCCTCCGGCACCGCGCTCTGGATCCAGCCACGCGCCGCACGCACCGCGCACCTCACCGGGCTCGACGTCCACTCGTCTCTGACTCAGATTGCGGACGTCATGAACCCCGACTACCAGCACCCCGAAGACGTCCCGCTCAACCCCGGGGACCCGCATCGACCGACGGGTCGCGCGCGCATCGCGGAGTCGTTGTGTGCGGCGGTGTTCGCGGGGCCTTTGCAGAGGCGTCATCCTGAGATGCAGACGCAGGCGAGAACGCTGTGGGTGCAGGGGAAGGAAGGGTGCAATTGGACGGCGGTTGACTATGACGAGGAGGCGGGGCGGGTCGCGCTTGGGTCGAGCGATGGGAGTGTGACGGTCTTGGGTCTCGTATAGAATGGGGTTTCTGTTGCTGCTCACGGCAGTCGTTCGTGATGACCGCGAGTTCCGAGAGTTGTGTATAAGCGGCCTATGGAATTGAGAGAAAAAGGAATAGGATAGATTTGCACAGAAACTCGGTTGGTTGGCGGTCGGCGAGCGCTTGCCGATAGCGCGTAAGCTGCCGACGTGTGGACTTGGCGAGTTTTGGCTTTCGACTCGAAACTATCATCCAAGGCGGACTGACCTTTCTGCACTTGCCACCCTCCCAGTAACAATAGTCTGTGTAGCTTGCATTCCTCCTCTCCATTCATCAGCTCGAACAATCAAGACTGTGTGCAATCAACTGTCATCGCATTGACCATCTGTCAATTTGCAATGTGCCTTCCTGAGAATATTGTTGCCTGTTTGTTCTCATCGCCTCGTCGCAGCGTTTTGGCACATCATGGAATTCTAGTGCAATCTTCTTGTCATCGCTCAAGCACACAACGACATCGTAGGTATCGTGCCGGATGCCACGTTACAGACTACTCGTGCTGTAACCCATGATCTCCGAACTCAAGGAGTCGCTGCTAGTCCCGGTCAGCCGTGCCTCAACTCACTTGTGAATACCGTACTCATGCACCTACAGGATGTGGTTTCTTAGGACAGATCGTGCCGAGCTTGTCTACCGCCCCAGTACCGAAGGCATCGTCTACGCCATCCTCTCCCACGTCTGGGGTCCGTCCGAGCAGTCCTTTCAGGACATCCGGGAACTCCACCAACGTCTCGCCTCCTCACCGGAAAACCCGCGGTCTCACGCGTGCGAGAAGATCCGGAACTTCTGTGCCTATGCAGAAGCAGCAGGTTACGACCTGGCATGGGCGGATACATGCTGCATCGACAAGACCAGCAGCGCCGAGCTGTCCGAAGCCATCAATTCGATGTATACCTGGTATGCGGACGCGGACGTTTGCTATGCCTTCCTTGCGGACGTTCCCGACCACGACGACCCTGAGCTGCCTGACTCCGCGTTCAGGCGGAGCAAATGGTTCACCAGGGGTTGGACGCTGCAGGAGCTGATAGCGCCTCTGGACGTCGTCTTTCTCTCGGTCAGCTGGAAGCCGTTGTGCAGCAAGTCCGCATCTTCTGGCCTGATTCAACGAGTGACCGGGATCGACATTGATGTTCTCTTGTCGCTTGTACAGCTGCCTTCAGTCCCCGCCGCCAGACGGCTTTCGTGGGCTGCGGACAGGGAGACGACGAGAATCGAAGACGAGGCATACTCGCTCATGGGGATCTTTGGCGTCAACATTCCTATCGTGTACGGTGAGGGCCGACGTGCGTTCACTCGGTTGCAAGAAGAAATCATGAAGCAGTCCCCTGATCATACAATCTTTGTATGGGGTCTCAGTCACTCTGTCTCCATCGACGACCTCCTGGCTCATGCCCCATGGACGAACTACCCACGCCGAGCCGTGCACAGCGAGACGGATCCTACTCAGCAGGTACTCTTCGCACCGAGTCCGCGTGCATTCTTGGGTTCATCTAATGTGCAACGCGTATCGATCCGGCGGCTGGCCATCACCGCCGAAATTGGCCTCGCCGCCATGAATAACATACAACCAGAAGTGAGTGCCAATGTCCCACCTCCGTCCACAGGGGCTCTTACTCCCCTCGCATACAGCCATCCACCCTGAACAACGCGCTACGGCCTCCTCACGTGGTTCCCGAGTTCACGGTCACTAGTTACGGCGTTCGCGCGCGCCTTCCTATCATTCAATTCTGCGACGACGACTCTTCAATCGCCGTCGCGGTACTCGCCTGCCAGGGTCCAGAAGGCAGCATCGTCGGTCTCCTCCTGCACCAACAAGACCATCCAGATGACATCCCGCTCTACCGCATCGGCGTGCACTGCATCTACCACGACATCGGCCGCCCCTACCCTCTCTACGGCTCCGCACGCTACGTCCGCATCCACCTCAGCTCGCGCTCTCCGCCAGCAGCTCCTGATCGGACCCCTTTATTCACCCTCCGCTGGCGCGAAGTCTTCCTCGTCTATCACACGCACTCGTTCGGCTTCGCACCCCTCCGCGGCCTCTCCACATCTGTGACCGCGCGGCCGTTGCTTGCCCCGTGCCGCCTCCTCTTCCCACAATGGATGCTCGCACGGCTCGCGCGGGTCGGTTTCACCCCAAACCGCCCGCTGAGCGACACGAGCGCCTTGAAAGCAGGGATGGTCAGCATGACGACCGAGGGCGAGTTCGAGGCCATCTTCACGCACGCGCAGACGCAGCACGCGTTCAGCGTGCGTTTCGCGTGCTGCATGCGCCCGGGGCCCGTCCTAAGAGATCCTGTACAGAGGACTCTCAGTCTAGTGGGAAGATCACTGACTGTATTAGGACTATACCTGTACAGAGGACTCTAAGAACCATATGAGTACAGTATAGTATGGGAATAGAAGATGAACATACCTCAGTCTAGTGGGAAGATCACTGACTGAGGAAAGGAAGGAGCGAAGCCAGCACTGTCTACAGCGCTGGCAGGTGGCAGTGCTTGTCTACTATAACAGGAAGGTAAGGTAATCTAATCTAATCTGACACGTCACCTGACCGCATTCCGACACTCCCACTCAAGCGCTGCCTAAGACCCATAGCCCGCATAAACCTCCAGTGTTTCTCTCGAGGTAAGGCCTTTGTAAAAATGTCCGCTACCATTTCCTCCGTAGGTACCCATTGTATTTCAGCTTCTCCTGTAGCCACCAGATTG